TCTTAGCCCTTTTTTCCTAGTAAATTCAAAAAGAGCTTTCTCTTCCAGCAATGAAACTGAAAAACAAGTAAATTAAAAGTTAATTATTTTGTATAATTATATTTAGTGTGATAACAACTTTGAAAAAATTCTACTGTCATTTAAATCTACTAATATACTTTAAAAAGTCTACTAAAATTGCTTTACACAATTTTTAAATTGATATAAATTGATTTAGTCTAAAAATTTCAATAAAAAAATTTATTTTGTTTAAATCATTGGGAAATAAATTGTAATAAAAATAATCAAGTCGTTTTTAATTATACTTATATTTAAACAAATTACTAATTATATACATATATTTTTCCAAGTTTACAATCATTAATTGTAAAAGGTATGTAAAATCAATTTAACAATATGAACTACGTATGTGAATGAAGATCTTGAAGATCTTGTTTAAAATGTCAATAGTCACAATTTCTTTATCACTGTGAATTTTTTAAACATTAAATTAAAAGTAGTAACTTTAAATAAATGGATTTTTTATTAATTTTTTAAAATAACCATTTATAAAAAAATATTGTATTTTAATGGGTACCTGGATACCCGCCTTTTCACAATTTTTCACAGCTTAACTATTAACAAAGCAAAGAGTTTAATTATTAAAGAACAGTTACATTTTTTTTTTAAACATCTTTGCTTCCAACAAGGCTGCAAGCAACCACTAATTAGTGCGATTGACAGACAACTTAAAAGACTGCAAATTATATGAATCAGGAAAGCAAGATGAAGGAAGCGAATTCCAAAGAACTGATGCTCGAGAAAAAAAACTAGACAAATAAGAGTTTTTGGAGCACTTAGGAACAGTAACAGAAAAAGGATGAGACTCAATTGAATGATGAGTAACGTTAGAATGAATTTTAGTAGATGGCACAAGAGGCGCTAGCTTTTTAGAGCAGTGCCCATTATAGTATTTGTAGAAAAGAGAAAGAGAAGCGACATTACGACAATGTGACAAAGGTTGAAGGTTGGCTGCAAGAGCAGGTCCAACTATGTTTACAATGTGTTTTTGCACTTGGTCCAAAAGAGAAAGGGCATTGTTAGAATATCCGCCCCAGATATGGCAACAGTATTCCTTACAAGGCCGGATTTGAGATTTATAGAGATAGAGAATAGAATCCAGAGTAAGAAATTGACAAGCTCAATAAAGAGAAGCAACTTTAGCAGATGTTAATTTTGCAACGGATTTGATATAAGGTTTCCAAGAAAGATCAGAAGTAAGAGTTAATCCTAGAAGATGAAGGGCAGGAGACTCATCGAGTACATTACCGTTCATAAATATAGGAAGTTCTAAATTATTGCAATAACGATTGGCTGAAAAAAATTAAGTTTTATCTAAATTATAGCTCACCAGCCACTGTGAGCCCCATGCTGTAGCAGAAGTGAGATCCTTTTCAAGCTCAGATGCCCCCTGCAAGCAATCAGAGGGAGTTGGCTTCTTATTGTGACAAGAATAAATGGTAGTATCATCAGTGAAAAATGCCACCTTAGATGTGAGAATATCTGAAAGATTGTTAATGTAAATTTAAAAGAGTATAGGGACAAGGAACCTTGGCCAAGAAGCATTTTTCTTCTTATTCTGAACCTTAGGGAACCAAGGAATGAACCTTGGGGAACCCAAGGTTCAATCCTTGGTTCCCCAAGGTTCAGAATAAGAAGAAAAGTGCTGTCCACCAAGGACAACTTTTATACTGCGATTGGAAAGGAAGGATTCAATAATCATAAAGATGTAAAACTTTATCAAACGCTTTAGAAATGCCAAGAGCAATGGCCTTAACCTCTCCACCTTTATCTAATGCGCAATAAAACCTATCAGTTATTACTGATAGCAAATCAGCCGTAGAATGAGAAGATCGAAATCCATATTGATGATCAGAAAGTAGGTTATGAGATTCGAGATTAAGTGTTTGTTAATTAAAAATTCAAAAACCTTGCTTATGATAGGAAGAAGAATAATCGGACGGCAGTTAGACAAATTGGATCGCTCTCCAGAATTTTTAAAAATAGGGATAACAGATGCTGCTTTCCAGCAGGCTGGAAAACAAGACTCTGATAAGCACTTGTTAAATAGTTTTGAAAGGATAGACGACATATTAAGTTAATTCAAATATATATATATATATATATATATATATATATATATATATATTTTTTTTTTTTTTCTGGTTAAAATACTATTATTGCTTTATTTTATTAATAGATTTTTTTTCAGGTTCATTTTGAGGAGACCTCTGGAAGTTCACAAGTCCAAAACTATTCTGAGGTACTGTACATATGCATTAAATTATTCATATAAAAATATATATATGTATATATGCATTCTAAACCCAGATTAAATTCTTATTTATCAATTTAAACTTATTTGACTTTTTCATTTTGGTGGTGTTATAATTGATAATGGATACCTTTTATTTTTTCATTTTTTTTTTATACTTGAATTAATTTAAATGTGATTTAACATTTATTTAATTAATTAAGTTGTTAATTTAATTAATTTTAATTTAATAAAAATTAAAAAAAGTGTTGAATTCATTAATTTAGAAAGAACATTTAACTAATAGTCGATATATAAGAAAAGATGCAGCTATGTTGACAATTCAAGGGTTTCCTATAACTGAGTCAGGTATTTTTTGTTATGGGTTAAAGAATATTTTTGTTTAAAATATTTGTTTTGTTTAAAAAGGAATGAAAAATAGTCTATGGTTTTTGGTTATGAATTTTCTTTATTACATAAAGTGTAATAAAGAAAATTCTATTTTATTTTGAACTTCTTTTTAAATTAAAATTATTACACATTAAAAATAATAATTTATTTATCCAAAAGTTGTGATTTTTATATTTTCAGAATTTCAAGCAAAAGTTTGAAAGTATGAAATAATTGGTCAAACAAGATCAAAAACTTGAAAATATTGAAAATTTTTTACTAAATTTAACATCATCTACAGTTGGAGTAACTAAAGAAGTATCCCCAGTATGTGATTTGATTGAGTTACATAATTTAGAGAAGAAAATAGAAGATGAAGAAGAATTTAATAAACTAGTTAATAAATTACTTTTTGAATTTATGATATTGATATTGATAATTGGTATAAAGATCCGGAGAAAATCAATACTTAACAAAATGTCTGTATTTTTATATTGTCTTTGGGACTTTACAGTCCCAAAGTTTTAATTAACATACCTACTACCATGAAAATTGATTTTGATTTTAAATGTTATAAAAAAAAATGTTGATGTTGAGATTAAGTTTTATTTCAATTTTCTAATTTTATCAGGTTTCATCACTCTCTGCTACTGGGAGTAAAGATGTTAAAGATGTTGTAAAGAATATTATGGAAATGTTTGTTTTAACATAGTGCTATGAACTCACTACCTCTTTATATGTTATAAACATTTATTAAAACATTAATAGAAATATGTTGTTTTAGTGTGGTTAAGTATGATATATATGTTAGCCAAGTTTAATTTTTGGGGAACTAATCGCCTCGAAAATATTAAAGAGTCAAGACCAAGAAAAGTAGCTTTTAAATGTCTTAATATATGCAAAGTTGTGTGATGTACGTTTTATAAATTATTTTAGTTTTAAAAAGCTTTTTTATATTGTAAAGTAAGTGCTTATTTGCCACAGTTGGGCAGTTTTCTGTATAAAACTTTAAAATTGTAAAAGCATAAAAAAGAAATTACTTGTTACCTTGAAAATTATATTTTATATTATAATAACAGAACTATATTCTAACTTTTTATTTTGTTTGAATTTAGACTCCGCTGGAGTATAAACAAAAGCATTAACAAAACATTACTAAAACATTAACATGCATAAAGCCTAAGTTTGGAGTTTGAGAAGCAAGTTAAAGTTTAGCAGAATTTTACTTTTAATTTCCAAAATTCGAAACTTAATATAAAATATCATTAATAATAAATGGTTTGCTAACATCGCTTTATTACGTCGCCCTAATATTGTATTCTAACGTCAATCAAACTTTCCATTTTCAAATTGATGCGATGTCACATACAACGTCGCAGCTACATCCAATATTTACAATGCTATTACATCGCAATTCGACGTCAAAATTAAATTGGCTAATAACATCGCCTTAACATCGAAAAGTTACATTGTTTTAACATTTTAACGCTTATTAACGTCAATCCAACTTTTCCGATTTTAGTTTTTGATTGCAATATTTTTACTTAAAGTTTTGTAAATTATTTGCAGTGATGGTGATGGTGTGGTTACTAACAATCTAGTCTGCTGTTAGTGCCAATCCAGTTTGTTATTAGTGGCATTAAAATAGTGAATGTTTACATGAGGTAATTAATAAAAGAAAAACAAATTTTTTTGATTTGAGTTTCTGGTTTACCTTTTGTGTCTACTGTTTTAAATGATTATTACATTATTATTTTATTGGTCAAATTTATTATTTAAAATTGTTTACTAAAAGCCAAGACAAGACTGACATATCTTGCTAATTTTAAAACTGAATTTTTTGAATTTCTTTATTATTTGTCATTTGTATAACTTAAATTACTTTTTTCTAAAGCAAAAGCTGTAACAGATTTAGTTTGAAATTAAGTTTTAAGGTCACATGCAAGATTGATCCATTTTATGCTTCATTGGTAATTAGTAATACTGATAACAAAGCATTAACTATATACTTTATGGTATTGTATCATAATTAATATATATTTATATTTCAAATTATATTTAGTTTTATATATCATAGATCAACCAGGTCATATTTTAAAAATCCATTATATTGTTCGGGTTAAATATTCAGAAAATATTTTCAGCATAATGTTTAAATAAAAAGAGCTTTTAAATACTATATTAAAGTTCTCTTAAAGACGAAGTTTAATTTATTAAACTTTAAGAGTTTAAAATATTGCTAACAGCAACAAAAAATATAAACTAATTATTCCATATTTTATTGTGACAACAAAATAAATGATTTATTTAAACTTACCAAGCATTTCACATGGACAAACCAAATTTTTACAATAGCAATCTGAACCAAATTTAAATCCTGATGGAGGGTTTGCATCCAAATTATTCCAGTCTAGAAAAAAAAGACCTTTTTTATATAAAACACTTTATTATTAAAACAATAATTAAAATTTTACATTAAAAAAAATCTTTTTAAAAAATTAATCTTGAAATTCTATACCTAAGATATATTTTAATAATATTGTTGAGGATATTAAATTATTTAGTTGCAAAATTATTTAATTGCAATGAGCTCAGTGGTTTAGCCACTTGAATTGAATTACAATTTTATTGTTTTTAAAAATCATTATGAGTTTATAGTTGATCACTGATTTAACTTTTTAAGCATTAAATTATTTCAAATTCAAATGAAACTTAACAATTACTTATAATGCTTTCATTACCATCTGGTGTCATATATGTTTCATATATACATGTATATTTCATAAATATATTTATATTTCATTTACATAACACATTTTTTATAAACATATAATCTTTATTATTTCAAACAAATATTTAGATTCTAGTTTTTCTGTTTGAGCATATTTCATTTTTTCTACAGTATGACTTTAAGACCAATGAATTATCTAACTTTCATAAAAGTTGTTTTATCTAATTATCAGGCAACAAAATAATGTCTTAAAATCAAGTTAGTATTTATCCACACTCACTTAAAATGACTAATGCAATATAACTTGAACTCCACAAACAGTGGCTTTGAAGTCTAGCTTAAAATATTTAAATCTATAAAACTAATATGTATTGATTTATACATATTAGTTTTATATACATATTTATACATTATTATTAATTTATACATATAAATATTGCAGTAAGTAAATTATTGATTCCAAGTTTGAATACAACTGTTAATCATTTTCTTAAGTCAAAATGTATAAAATAAAAAAACTTCAATTTGTAATTTATATAAAATTAATATATAAATAATAATAAAAATCAAAAACAAATGTTTGAAATAAAATGTCCTAAAATCAGGTGAAATTGACACCTTTTAGGACATTTTAAAAGAAATCATACTGTTTAGTATTTACACATAATTTTTTTGTTTTTCTAGGTAGCTTATCTAGTGCAATTTGTAAACTTTCAAAATCAACAAAAATGTTTTCAAATATATAATTTTTAAATTTTTATTCTGACTATAAAAGAAAAAATTGAAGGTTAGCATTTTGTATCAGCTGCTCAACACACATGTTACATAACTACTATTATTTGTTTCCATAAATATAATATCTATGAATATTTATCTTTTTTTCATTAAATTGATGAGAGTAATAGTATGAATTCATCAATATTGATGAGAGTAATAGTATGAAACAATTTTTTTCTAATAATAAAAAGGAAGTCTGTATAAGTTTGGGTTGCCAGCAAAGTTGCTAACTCTCTTCAGAAAAAAAATTGGTTGCAAGATACAATGATGATGTCATCAGCAGTCTCTTTAACCAACTCATGAACACTTCACTGTAAAGAACATGTCAATCACACAAGATTAACTCAGAAGACTGATCACACTGAAAGAAAAAAAAAAGTTGATGAATACCAGCAGGATGAAAGCTGCAGATTTAAAGAGCAAACCAGCAAGAAATCCTAGATTATGGCGAAATCTTAGATTATGGCAAAAGAAAACAGAAATTAAATGATGAATACTAGCAATTGTAAAAAAGTTCATCAAGTTTGCCTATGTTAGCTGTTGCAGTTCAAAAGTATTGCATTATATCAGCATCTTTTATCACAGTAGAATCTGCTTTTAGTGAGGCAAGCTTTATTCAAAGGAAAGAAAGAAGTAACTTTTCATCAAAAAATTTAATATTTCCATTAGTATTCTGGAGTGCAATAAGAAGCCCTATATAATCAACTATTTGTAAATAAAAAATCAAAATAAATAAAGAAAATTGAAAAAAAAACTTTTTTTTTAACTTTTCCATGGTAAGTGACTGAAAAGAGTAAGGAACTAAGGTCAAATTTAGTTAATAGCAATATAAAAGTTTTAATTCCATCTAAAAAGAAAGTGCTTAATTTTAAAATACTTTTAAATTTTGGAAATTAGAGATAGATTAAATTCAATCCATTTTGTTTTCCCAGAAAGTTGGAAAGTTTTGATTTTTGCCTTCAAACAATAAAGTATAAATAAAAAATGTCTTTCAATACAAATACATTTAATTTAGAAACACTTTCCAAGTCAGAGGAGATTACTTTTGGAAACTGGTTATAAAGCGAAATTGAACATGTTTTATTTGCTTGATTAACTAAGACATGGTGTTACATTTTCTATATACATTTGTAAATACTAAAATATTAATTAAGTTTTTATTCTTTTGATTGTATATTTAAAAAAATTTTATTGCCCTCTTTGATATAAAAAATGTTTCTGTAGAAATATAAATTTATATATATTTTTACAAAAGTTCTCAAATAATATATAAAACAAAGTAATTCTTGAGGAGAACAGCATTTCCAAACTTAAACATTTTGAACCACCTCAATACACATAGACAATACATATCAAAAGTCATTTGAATGAAAACAACATTATTATATATATTATTGTTACATTTATAAAAATCATTAATTAGTTCACATAGATAAAAAGGTTCTTTTGACAATTTGTAGCACTTGTCAGTTTCATTTTAGAATAAAAAGTAACCTGTACTTTAAAGTTTTCAATTTGCAATTCTTTGAAACCTGAGATTAACTTAAAACATGAAAAGTATGTTTGAAAAACCTGACACTGATTATCACTGATTATTGTTCAATTCTGCAAACATCTATGATTATATACTGTTAAAACTAAAATTTTCAAGTAAAAAAAAATTTTTTTTGTTTGAGTTTTCTGATTTTACTTTAGTTTATTTTATTGATATATAGAAAATGATTGTATAAATTTGTTTAAACTTGTTTAAAAAGTGTATAAAATTAAAAAATTATGTATATAAAAATATTGTGTTAAAAACAACTTTAAAAAAATTATTTTGTTTTAAACAACTTTAACATGTTTAAAAATTGAAGTCTGATAAGAAATATTTGATGTTATTTTAGATTCCTAAAAGTAACAAAAAATGAACCGAAAAATGAAGAATTATAAAGACAATTGAAAAATTGTATTCTTACTCAAGACAATAGCTGTATACAGCTATTTACATGTAAAACAATAGAATTTTTGGTAAAGACAATACATACAATAAATTAACTATAATCTAAATTAACAACCACAGAACATAGATTTCTGTAATTACTTTGATAATGTCAAAGTTGTTTAAACAATTACTAACACTTTGATAGTAAGATATGAGACCTGAGTGCTTAAAGGTTGCAATTCTTTAAAAAATAATAATAATTATAAAGCTGTCAATAAACCATCAATATCTTTATATTTTAATTGTTACTTTTTGTAATAATGTGTCTGATTGATTTCAATTTAAAATTCACATTTTTTCATCTCCATCTCCATACGGCCAATTAATTTAATAGGGAAAAGAAGCAAGCAATGTTTTATCTCTAAGAAAAATTATTTAATGATTATTTTTTCTACTAAAAAAATTCAAATTCTAGCTAACCAACCTTCTTGTTTTTTATAATTTATTAACAACTTCAAATTTGCGAACCACAAAACTGAAAGAAATTTCTTTGACAATTTGACAATACTGAATTACAAGAAATTTCTTTTCTTGTAATTCAGTATTGTCAAATTGTGATTATTTTGTTTATTTATTTAAAAAATGCTTGAAAAATTTACTATTTATTAGTATATAAAGATTACTATGTAATACTATGTAAAGATTGTTGTATTATTAATATTATAAAAATACCAATAATCACACATATATCAAATAATCCACTTTTATATGATTTATTGAATTTAAATCTATTTCTATAATTTTGTTTTGCAAATTGAATAAAACACACACACACACATACACACACACACACACACACACACACACACACACATATATATATATATATATATATATATATATATATATATATATATATATATATACATATATATATATATATATATATATATATATATATATATATATATATATATATATATATATATATATATATATATATATATATATATATATATATATATATATATATATATATATATATATATATATTTGGGTGCCATTTTTTTTAAATTAAAATTTGAAGCCCTTTTTTTTTTTTTACGTTTTTTAAAGCAAATATTGTTATTTTCGCAAAAAAACCGTTGACTTTCCGCTAAAGTTCGCTGGAACGAGGACGTATCGCCGCCCAAATTTTTTTCCTAGAATTGGCCCTGATATATATATTTATACATAAACTAGGGTAGATTATTAAAAAAATTTAACTTTGAATAGTGATAATTTGTTTCTCCTGAATAATATGAAGTAGATTAGAAATAAATATTTTGATTTTTGTGTCCTATATTGCTTACAGGCGCTTATTCTTTTGTTAAATTACAACTTTCTATGACTATCAAATCAAGCACAACAGTTTCTAGAGTTTCTGAAAATGTTATGAACATTTGGTTGAAATCTAGTATTCTAACTATTGGAATACTATATTTCAAAACACTTGAAACATTTAATTCAATTCTCTTGCTTCCTTTAAGAAAGTGTTTGACTTATAGATCATAAATGCATTCAAAGAAATGCATATTATGGTCAACCAGAAAATATTTTGATATCAATGTTGATAAATAAACAAAAGGAAATAAGAGAATTAGCCACTGAAAGAATTAAATTTGCAAAGCAATGCACAATTTCAAATTCTACAGAAGTAAAAAAATTCAAAATTCCTCTTTTAAACTTTAATGCCATTAATTACTGTAGTCTTGTAAATTGGGAGGAACTTCTTTGATCTCTTTCTTGAAACCTTTTTTTATAGAACTTTTTTAAATAAGTACAATAAAACGGCATTTAAAAAGTTTGTATTACTTATTACATAATTAATTATAACAATTCCCAACTTCCTGTGAAATAATTTTTCTATAATTTAAAATTTTTGATGTTTAGACATTCTTCCCGATGCACCTACTGATGGAGAAATATTATGTTGAAAAATACTAAAAATTAGATAAGTGTACTAATTTATATATATATATATATATATATATATATATATATATATATATATATATATATATATATATATATATACATATATATATATTCATCTATATATATCTTCAAGTTTTTTGATTTAACTAATTTCAACTTTAATATTTAATTTCTAGTTTTAACCACTTGGATAACAAAAGTTTGTTTTTTACAAAAATTACTACTAAGGAAGATTCAATCGGTTTTGTTTACTAAAAAAATATGGAAGTATTAGTATTAGTTTTTAGGTATTTCTACGGTTATTTGTTGTACGCTTTTATCAAAAGTTAAAATATCAAAACTATTAATTATTTATACAATTTATTTTGCTTTTTTTAAATAAAAGAACATGTTTGTTGCACTTAAAGATCAAATAAAGTGTTTATAAAAAAAATACCTGAAACTGTTTCATTAAATAAATGAGATATCTCATTAGATGATAAAGGAATGGACCACATCCTAATACCAGATAGTGCTCCATTAAGATTTGAGTAGTTGTAATAATCAGCATACAAAAGAAGATACTCATTATACAAACAAGGGCGTGAAGAAACACTCGAATGGTTTCCCACACTAATTAAATCATCATTGTGATACAAAAACAATGTATCATTTTGTTTATACCATACAATCGTCAGAGTATAAGGAACTGCAATTGGATTCTCCATGTTTGCTACATACATACTGTCTTTTGTAACGACTGTAGCTACAATGTTATTATCACTGTTTAATTGAATTTGAAAACCGTTTCCTTGAGCTTTGTTTTCATAACCCCCAAGCCCAGCAGAAATAATTGATGAAGTCATACCAATATCTGAAAAACAAAAAGCTTTCAAATAATTTTTTATAACTTAATAAATAACACCTAAAAATCAAAACACGCAATAACATTTTTTTTTGATAAAATTTTGTAAATGAATAAAAAAATGTGTTGAGATTCACAAAAATACTTTCTATCAAAAAAATTTTTTTTCCAAAAAATAAATTCTTGATTGTTATTTATTTGGAAAAACAAATAGTTAATTAAATGTATCGTAAAAACAAATAAAAAATTAACATAAAATCAACAAATGACACAAACAGTTTTATAGATGTAAAAACTTAATATCTTTTTGTAATTGCTTAGGAAACAAACAAAATGCATAGTATTTGTTTAACTAAAGAAACAAACACAATGCATTGTATTTTTTAAGAATTTTACATGTTGCCTTATAGCGCAACAAATGTAAAATTTATTTTACATTTTGCCTTATAGCGCCACACTTTTTACTTAATTCAGTAAAAAAATATTATTTAATAAAACACTTTAAAAAATTTATTTTAAAATTGTATTGACCTTTATTGAATAAAATACTTTTATTTTAGGGTTATTATATCCTGCAATATAATCTTTATAATTAAATTTATGAAACTTTTTTTCATTGTGAAAAAATATATATATATATATATTTCTTTGGTTTCAAAGTTGTAATTTAAAACAAAGCAACATTAAACACGCACCTAAGATATTGTTAATTTCCAATAGAATTACTTAATTGCTTTTTTTTTAACTAAACAATATTAAAATTTCTTGTTGTTGTTTTTTTTCAAGTTTAATGATTAAGATTAACTTTTATTACTTATGTTTTTTTTATTATGTTTTTATTACTTATGTTTTTATTACTTATGTTTTTATTACTTATTTACTTTTACTGCTTATTTTATACTTATGCTAGATTTAAATAAACATTATTACTTATTTAAGGCCCTATCTGCAAAAGTAATTCATGTTTCCATTTGTCTTTTTATTTGCCATCCATTTGTATTGTTTTTTATAATAATGTTGACTCAGATCTCCAGTAACTACTCTGTTGCATGCTAGATTCAAATAAACAAAGTTTATTTTGATCTAGCATGCAACTAGGTAGCTTCTGAAGATTTAAAAATTGTCTGTAGAAATCTTTATTAAATCATCTTTTATCTAGTATTGCCCAATATGCATCATGCAACAAAAAGTAGATGTTTACCAAGTTAGCTTGTCTTTTAAGCTTGTGTATAATACATTTCTGGCTTTTATTTCTGTTAACTAGGGTGTAAAATATTCACAAAGAAAACAAAGAACAAAATCTTTTTTAAATCAAAAAAATTTTTTTGTGTATTTTTTTTGTAGAGTGTTTTAAAGAAAAAAAGATTTTTTATGTGCAAAAATTACATATAACGTTTTTAGAAAATATAGGAAGATTTTTATGTATAAAGATTGCATTTTAAATCATCTTTATAAAGATACATGTTATAAATGCACTACCCCTGTGTTAGATTACAAAAATTTATCTAAAATTGAAATTAGTAAATACATTTGATCTGAATATTGAGTAAAACAGTAATAAATTAATTTGCTTGGTATGATACTTACAAAACATAGACCCACACACACAAGTCACCCACTTGACAGTATCAGTTGAAAAATATACATTAAAACCATGTTAGAAAATAGTATATTTTTCTAATTTATTGATATATAAAGTCAAAAGTGCCTTAAAAAGGTTGTGGTGAGTGAGACTTTGACTTAAAAGCATCTATTTAAACTTAGCGACGGAATTAATGGCCTCGAAATTATTAGTTTTTTATTTTTATTGCTCCCTATATTTTTAAATAGTTCAAATTTAGCAACAAATTTTTCTTTGCTTTTTGTCTTACATTAATAAATATATTTAAATCAAGAAAAAATTTCAAAATACTATAAATATTCAATCAAGCCTTTTTATATATAATTTTACACTTTTCAGTAATTTTTAGGCCAATTTTAAATAAGACATAAAATTTTAACCAAAGTTTCAAATTCTTTATCTTATTTTGAAAATTTACTCAATTTTCGGAAAATTTCCCAAGTTGAAAATTTCAGGAAAATTTTCAACCATATATAATATTGAAGAAAATTGCTGTTTTTTTATTTTCATTAACAAATTTGAATAAAATGCAGTTAATGTTGGAAAAACGATCATTTAAAAGTTTATTTTAAAAATTTATTAATAACATCTTTTTTTAGTTTTTCTTTTGTTCATATTCCCTCCTAATAAGGGTAATAATAAAGTTAATAATAAGGCTATAAACCAATAATGTGCAGTAAAAAATGTTTTGTTAATAATGCTAACATCAACAACCAACAGTTGCTATAGAAAATGCTAACAATAGCCAGAAGACTGATTTGACTAGACCAAACAAATGTGATACAGTTAAAATAATAAATGATAGACCAGACTATGAGATGAAGTGAGTGATAAATGATATAATGATGACAAAAAGAAAATATTATTTAATAAAAATGATAAATCTATAAACTCTAATACTAATAACTTTATACTACTATCTTGGAGTCATCAATCTTGAATCTGATCTCTTTACTGTAACTGCTTGGGATTTGCAGTGACTTATTTATATTCGGGAGATAATTTTTATATTTTCAGAAGTATTTGTCTAATATAAATAACAGCTAAGTAAGAAGTTGAAAAACTACAAAAAGAATGCAATTTGATTTTTTCTATGTTTTTCACCATGTCATAAATAAATAAGAAAAAAGTAATATGGAAACCATTTCTTTATTAATTTTCTTTATTAATTATTCTTAATAAATCTTGATTTTTAATTAGTTATGTCATGGAAAAGTTGAGGCAGTTTGTAAAAACTGGATAACCTTCCTGGAATAAACCTGTATATCAGATTAGGACTGAGTATTTCTATTGTAATGTTATCACTAGGAAAACTACCATTCAATAGAGTTGGGGTGTAACAAAGTACATTTACTTTGTTCATTAATTGTTACTTTTTGAAGTAATTCTGCATGTTATGAGTTACATTTACAACACAGTTTATACAGGTATATGTAGTGCAAAAACAACCATACCGCAAAAATAACAATGTTGGCTTAAGTGACCTAGCATATAGAAAAAGATTCAGGATTCAAAAAACTTGATATATTATGATAGCTTATATGTCAGCCTATAAATTAAATCAGTTTTAGTGGTTTTTTTATTTGTTAAATACTTACGTATTTGCACTAGAGTAAAAATTTCAATTATAAAAATGCATAGTTTTTTTTGTTTTGTAGAAGCCTTGAAGCCATATCAGAGAATAAGTTAGCAAAATATAGTTTTTCTATTACCTATGGATTATAACTAGATATTGAAAAAAGTTTTTTTTTCAAGTAGTTATAAATCTTTATGAGATCCTCATAAAGAGAAGAAGTATTATTGTTGTTTTTTTGTTTTTTTTACATGTGCAAAAATTTTTGCACTCATTGAACAATAGACCTGAGTAACACTTGTAGATATTTTTTCAAGGTTTGCTTTGATTTTCTTTATAGTTAGCAGATCATGAATATTTTCTAATTGGAGGCTTTGCTTAGCCATTACTCTAATCAAGATTGAGACTTTCCAGTAACTTGCTGAACCTTTCCCTTTTACCAGCTGGTTACAAAATGGTTGACTCAGGTTTTTTGAAAGAAGTTAACATTTAATTCAAAAGTTAACATTGTAAATTCTCTGCATCTGTGAACTTTCTCCTAATTAATGCCTCAGGCTTACTTTTTTTATCAATAGATTGTAATTTTTCCTGTCTGAGCTGAATTTTTAGCTTCATTTTCTATGTAACTTTTTAATAACTCTATTTGATTAAAAAAATTATCGTTAAACATTTCAGAGTACAATATTCGCTTACAGAACATATCTAGATACTAAAAAAGTACTTTCAAGTAAAAATTTAGATTTTGCTTTAGGTTCAAACACAAAGTAAGTTTTAATAAATTCTTGCAATTATTCAGTTCTAAAAATGTTATTGATTTTTGATACGTAAAAAACACAAAGCAAACTTTGTTTAAAACACTGCAATGACATATTTAGAATCAAGAGGTTACATAGAATCAATATCTGACTTTCTGATTTAATAAAATGTCAGGCTTTATGAAACAAACAGCCACAAAGTAATACATCGACAGTAAGCATGGAACTGCTATAGATAGCATATTCAAATAGTATATCATTATTGCAGAATTAATAACAGCAGCATTTATCAATATACACTTAGTGAAATTTCCATAGTTCCAAAAACATAAAAGCGCAAGATTTAAGTTTGTCAAGGACAACATGACCTGGACGCAAAATGAAAAAATGTTATTTTTTCTGATGAAAAAATGTTTAACTTGGGCATGATGGTTTTAAGTATTATTGATATGATTTGAAAAAAAAAAGATAGCATTACTATGGGTGATAACTTTAGATGAGGGACAGTTATGGTGTGGGCTGCATTTTGTTTACACAGCAAAATTCCAATATGTTTTTTTACAACAAAAATAAATGCAAAAAAGTAAAAAGATCTTCTAGAAGATGTTTTAATCAAGTTTAGTGAAGGTTATCTACTGTGAATATTTTTCTCTAACAAGATAATGCGGCAATTCACACGAAACCTAGTGTAAAACAGTGATTTCAGGAAAAAAAATAAACATGTTTTGATTCGCCATCACATTTACCCAACTTGAACCCTATTGAAAATTTATGAGGAACATTTGCATGGATATGTATCTGGAAATAAGTGTATATGTATCTGGAATAAGTTTATAAATCTAAAGTGTTAAAAAACAATGACCCATTTTATGGGTTCGGACAGCTAGTAATAACAATAATAACAATGATAACACAAATAACAAATACAATTAATTACAACATGTAACCACTCCCGCTGGATGTGGTTACATGTTGTAATCACATCCAGCAGGATAGTCTAATGTCTGTTTTGCTGTTGTGATGTACATTGGAAAAAAACAGGGCTCATCAGATACAAAGAATACTTTTTAAATTGTTTATGTGACACAATGTTCACAAAAAGTGACCAACAGAGCCGTCCAGTTACGTAGACCTGGGAGATGTGAAAATAGAAGCAGATTATAGATGTAATTGGTAAGAATCATAAATAAATCTATTAAGGCTATTTTGTAGGGAGGAATAAAATATAAGGCTATATAAGGCTATTTTCTAGGGAGGATTAAAGTTTTAGGACTCAGGGAGAGGGTGAACAATAAAAAATTTCAAAAGTTTGTTTGGAAAATCTTATAAAATGTATGAAAAACTGAATCTTCAAATTAATTAGTGTAAAAGGTGGAAATACACATTACTAACAACTAAAGTATTTACAAAATTATTATTTAAACAAAAATTATAAAAGTTTACTTTTGATGTAACTATTGAAATTTCACATGTTTTTTTTGAAATATCTCTAACTTTTAAGTTTTTAAGAAATAAATTATTAATTTTTTTCTATAAAAATATTATTTTCTTATTTATTTATTCATAATAATTCCTGTAATGAACAAAAAAAAATACTTTAAGCAAAAACGCAAATACTTCAAGAATTTATTTTTATGAACAAATTGTAAGTGGAACTATCAAAATTTTTCTGAGTGTAAATATTTCTGAAATTGTTATTACACTTGATGGATATTTACAAATAGTAGATGTACTAATCTTAAGTAAAAACTTTGCTGGAGTAAATAACAATAAAATCAATAATAATAAAATAATAATGATAATAGTAATTAACAAAATAACAGCAATAATAATTACATTAGATTGTTAATTTAATAATAAAAGAGTAGTAGTAATAATCGTCTATAATTAATTGTCAAGTTGTTAGGATCAGACAAAATTTGGGGCAATTTATAAATGCATTCATAAAAGATTTAATATTGTAGAAACATATGTGCCAAAATAATAAACACAAACACAGTTTTTTTGAAATTGGTATGTATGAACTTTATGAATGCCCCTAACTTCTCTTATCTGCCCAATAAAGAGAGGGGAGTATTAATTAAAGGAAAGAGTTGGAAACTTTTAAACCCTGAAATTTCTAATAACATATTGAAATCTATTTTGCACTCGCCATCTGCGTAAAAGATTCTTATGTTATAAACGTGTTAACCTAATAAATTCGATGCATTAAATACTGCAAAAAGTCAAACTTTTCTTAAAGTAAAAGATTTTAACTTCAAACTTTTTATTTTTACAATATTAATAAATAGTGCAAGGATACTAATAAACTTTGCATCAGATAAAGCCATAAAGCTAATAAATGTCTTTTATTGAAAGTTTACAATAAGATGTTAATAAAATTATTAAGAAAATAAAAATATGTCAATAAATTTCTATCATTTACAAGAGAATATATAAATAAGTATCTGGAATAAGTTTATAAACCTAAAGTGTAAAAAAACAATTACCCATTTAATGGGTCCGGGCAGCTAGCAATAACAATAATAACAATGATAACACAAATAATAAATACAATTAATAACAATAACCATGACAAAAAGTATTGTAAACTAATAATACTAGAAATACACATATATAAATACACACACACACTTATGAACATACACAATTTTTTGGATATATTAACAGTAATTAGTAAAAATGAGTGAAATGAGTTGCTTTTAAAAACATAGTATGACTGGAGAGCTTTTATTTTATAGGAAAGTTAGTTCCAAAATTTTATACTTTAACAATTTATGGACTTATGTCCATAAGTAACAGAACAATGTTTTAAATACCTACATTTACTTCCATAAAATTGAACATCAGGTGCATTATTTAAATAAGTCACATTCAAAACACCTGCCATGGTAATACCATTTAATGTAATGTATTGAAATTCTCCTCCCTCTAGTTCAAACTAAAACAAAAGTTGAATTAATTGAAAACAATTTATATATATATATATATATATATATATATATATATATATATATATATATATATATATATATATATATATATAAACACAAATTTTCTATTTTTATGCAACTCACATTTCAGGCTTGCCCAAAATATTTAAATTAAACAAAAATTGGGCACATTTGCTAGATTTATGTATTTTTAAGACAAATTTTTTTTTTTTTTTGCAAAAGAATGCAATTTTGCAGTATAACGAGTCAACCAAAAACGAGTTTGGGTTGATAGAATTATATACAATAGCTCATTTGAGCTCCAACCATCATAGCATTTTTATTAAAAAAAAGAGATGCAACCTTACACCAATCGGATAGTGGTTTAAGTTTGGGCAACAGATCAGGTATAACTATGTTTACAATACATTTTTGGACCTTGTCTAAAAGAGAAAGTGCATCATTAGAAGAACCAGACAATTATGACAACAATAGTACCAAATATGCCAATAGTATTCCATAAAAAAACAAATAAGAAATTTGTAGAGGAGAATGAAATCAAATGAATGGAATTAAGAGTAAGAAAATGGCAGTCACAATAAAGAGAGCAGATGCTAACTATGAAATGAATTGTATATTTAGATGAGAATGTTAGTATTGAATAATACTTTGAGAAGACTTACAGTAGAGGACTTGGTGAGAGAATGTTTTCATTTATCAATATAGGAATATATATATAAAAATTCTTATATTAGGTTATACTCTATTGACGGCATATATAAGCATTGATAGCACAATTTGTGCATAAGACTGTCTTAAACTTTTAATGTTTTGAGAGAATTTTTATTGAACTTTTTTAAATGAGCAATTGAACAATTTTTAGATGATCCTGCATTGATGCTAACTAATAGTAAAATATAGCATCTAAGTGTAATGTTAGTTGTAGTGGCTTTAGTTATCTTGTAAACTTTTTATTTTTAAAATAAAATGCCATTACATGATGATGAATTGTTTTTATATCAATATTAGATTTGTAATGGCATTTTATGAAATATAAATAAATAAAATATAGGATGAAATTTAAAAAAAAAAATTTAAACCAAATTTGACAAGCATGGTAATGGAAATAGTTTTAAGAATTATAATAAAATTATTTAATGATGTAAGAAAAAATATCTTGAGCATTATATAAATACTTTTTTTAAATTTTAAACAAAAAAAAAAATTCATTAAGGTACTTGGAATTGTAAATAAAAAATTACATCGTTAACATATACATATTGATCTTGAATAAAAGCATCAGAAGATAAAGCAGATAAAACAAATGTTTCTTTTACTATATCATTATTTTTCATCTCTATTCCAGTAATATAATATTTGTCATCAAAAGTAAATATTCTTGACTTTAATGTTGGAACATATGTTATCGATGTTTCTAAAAATAAAAAAGTTTTAAAAAGCTTATAAGATTCTAATAAAAATAAAACCAGTATATATAATATTTTCATGTGACTAATATTAAAAAACTGAAAAGTCTTAATTCAATTTTAGTTATATTTTGTCACAATAGTCAATATTTTAAATAAAAATAAGTTTGAAAAAATGGAATTATCAACTTCTTTGCTAGCAGAAGCTGCTGACAGTGGTTTTTGTTATTTTCTAATTTTAAACCACAGGTCATTAAAGCGGCTCAAAAAAACTAAAGTAATTCTCTGCATACTTCATAAAGAAACAATAAAAAACTGAAATAAATCTCTGCTTAGCAAAGAAAACAATAGCTATTTAATGTTGTTTAACCAAGATATCATATAAAAAAATTACACTTTTTAAATACTGATATTAAGATGCTATATGAATATTTGAATATATATATGTGCATAATTTTTTTTTTTTATTAACCTCCTGCCTGTCATATGAAGCAAGGTTAATCACACATAATCATAAAATCAATTTCTAATTAACCAAAAAAATTAATGAAAAATATTATATTCATACTAATGCTTCAACTTATACATCAAAAGGTGTCATTAATGACCAAAAAAATAAAAAATATGTTAAATAGGTATTTAGTATATATTTTTATACTATTCTGTCTCCTTATCGTGTCATCAACCATGACTCAGTCTGTTTCAAATGATCTCAGTGTTATTTAAGTAGCTAAGAGTTTATGAAAAGGAAACCAAAACATTTTTATCAGAAGATGTTAAAGTTGTTGCACTTGCTGACTCTAATAAGAATGTCAATGACAAATAAACTTGTTAAATATCTTTACCTTAATATGTCATACTTTAGAGTCAAACCGGCTTGAGTAAACCTGTTTTAAGAACTGACATCTATATTGTTAAAAATATTAATAACTTTCTATACCAAAAATGTTAATACTTGTTTTTTTTTCTTTAACTGACCAAAAAAACATTTTTTGAATGAAAATTAATTTTTAATTAGCCAATGTTAATATATGCTGACTGTTACCTTTATAACCAGAGGCAAAACAATATGATGAGACAAAGGAGAACAGTAAGATTTTTATTCATTATGTAAAAGTGTCTGATTCAACCAAAGATTGAACGCAATCATTAAAAGGCACTGTAATAGCTAGTCACTGTTAAATTGATTTTCAGTGAAAATTTCTTGCTTTTGATTCCGAAAGATCCTATTTTATATATTTTGAATCAGTCTATAAGTATGAATGGGCAAGATGCAAATGCTGTTGTGTTAGCAAAACTTCTGGTTTACTAAACTAAAGACAAAAAACTGAATACTTTTAAAAGTTAAAAAGAGTTTAAAAAATTTACAAAAAGCTTTGATAAACTTAACTTTTAATTTTGGTTTCTACATGCAACAAACTTGTATTAAAACTCAAAGAAAGTATGCACAAAGAGCAAAAAAGTCAATGAATAAGATCTAGTCTTGCAAAAATGTCATTTTTAGTTCATTACTCTACAACATCACCAACTTTTTTTTCAACTTTATGTTATTTGTTATGTTTTCAAAAACATAACAAATGTCATAAAGTACAAAATGTAAAAAGTAATATACTATAAAACTCATACTACTTTATTACACTAAGTTATATATTATTAAATTACAAAATATTTACATTTTTATATGTGATTATATGTAATTTGTTATATGTAGTTATATGTAATTATATGTAATTTGTTTATATGTAATTATATGTAATAATATGTAAATATTTATATGTAATACAAACCTATTCCTTTATATGTTATGACTAATTTAACTTGATCTTTTTTGGCATTACAATAGGTGTTATATTTTTCTCCATTTTCAGGCATCACAATTATACCAATATAATTAACTGGGTCAGAATAATTATTTAATGCATTATTAAAGAGATTAAATAAATCAATGCTGTTGTATCCAGGATTCATAATAAAATTCACAAAATGTTTATCTGAAAGATATAATTTTGAGTAATTATACAACATATTATTTAGATCAATAAATATATTATTGAATGATTCATCTTTTGACACAAGCAAATAAGCACGCATTTTAAATTCATTGCCATTATCATAATAGTTATAAGTACTACTGATCAAAAAATTCAAACTTGTAATTTCTAAAGGTAAATTAGCTTTATACATAAACGTGGCTGTTATTGGACGATCTAGACTTTGCCCAAAAACAATAGAATCTTCTAAACTCGTGCCAAATGGTATCATATTTATAGCTGTATTAAAAGTCATAGCAGAATTCAAATTGAATAACTGAAGTTGATCTAAACAATGAAAAACAAATTATTGACAATAATTTAAAAATAAATGACAAACCAAAAATAAATATATAAAATTCTTTTAAAGATAAATTGATAAAAACTAAATAATTGCAATCATTACAGCTGCATATTGACAGAATCCAATAATAATTTTAAAAAAATAAAAAAGCATAAAAGGCTTTTTTATTTGGTCTATATTTGCATACAAAAAATAGTTATTTGATGTTTTATTGTATTTCGTTGTTATGTGTTTTTGAATTTCAAGACAAAAAAAAAAAAAAAATATTTAATTAAACATTAAATTTTTTATTAAACATTATATGGTATATATTAAGCTTCTAAAAATTAAATTTAAAAATATAAAAATGACTTAATAATGAACATGAGAGACCATATTCTTAAAATAAGAATGTTATTTAATTAAATAATAATATATTAAACATTAAATGGTATTTAATTAAATGTTAATAATTAAAACTAGTTTGCTTGTTTTTAGAACTCATCTTGTTTTACTATAATATAAAAATAATAACCTTGGATATAGATATGTTATTATACCAACCTATTTACAAACTTAAATTCATCTAAAAACATCAATTTTATCTCTTACACGTGGATTCCATCCTGAAGAAACAGGTAAAACCATTATTAGATATCCTAATCGCTTTGGCTTCCATTGCTAAAGTTATACTTTATCTAAAATCTTCTACAGTTTCAAATCCTGATAATATTTCTGTTACAATAATATATGTATAAAAAATTATTATCCAGTTATCACTCCAATATTATCCAAATTATTTAGCAAGTGTTTAATTGAACAGGTAAAAACATGCTGGAAAATGACATCTGCGGTTTGAATTTTAAAAGATTTAGAGCTCTTTGTTGCTTTGACACTGCTATTTGTTGCCAAAACTGTTTTTTAATTATTCAAAAAATCTTTGAGTTGTTAATAATCTTTTATTTTTAATAAACTCTTTTTTTTTATTTCTCTTTTTATTTATTTATTTTATATTTAATATTTTTATCAGAGTTAAACAACTTTCAATCAATTTTTTTCTCTTATTCTATATTTGGTTTGTGAAGTGTAATAAAAAAAGGTTTTGTTACACATTAGACAAAAACAGTTAGGCGAAGGATAATGTTCTTGACATATAAAATGTTTTCATAAAAATTCAGAATGGTTCTTTTCTTTTTATAAAGTTTAGTTGGGTAAGTTTTTAAAAATAATTACATAATTCTTTTCTAATTGAAATGCTAAAATCACCCTTAATATACGATACTCACATTCATTTAAAAGTTTCTTGGAAGTATTTGAAGGTACAATTCCGTGTTAAACCCATGTTCTTTATCTCCTAAAATATGATCTTACTGGAAGTCTTACCTAAAAAGAGGCTTGATTTCTTGATAAAAATCTATATACTTTAGTCCTAATATAAAGTCATTTGTATCATCAACCTTTTCTTCAACAGAAAGTAGATAAATGATATCTTTTTTCTAAAAAAGCTAAAGCTTTGCAGTAGATAATGATTCCTAACTATTTTAAAGAATCAGATTACTACAAACAAAATTGCCACAATCTTTATGAAATTATATCTTTTTTCTGCAGCTTTTCCGTTACGCTCACAAAATATATTTTATTCAGTTTTTTTTATAAATCTCAGTGGATTCAAAAACAACTCTGTTAAAAATACACATATTTAAAATTCAATCATCAGTTATCTTGCTTATCAACTCATTTCTTATTTATCAACTCTCTTCTTGTTTATCAAATCTCTTCTTGTTTATCAACACTTATCTTGTTAATCAAATCTCATTTTGCTTCTCTTCTTGTTTATCAATGCTCATCCAAACCTCGGAATAAGGAAAAATGAGGTCAGCAATAAATTGCCAACTTCAAACTGTTAGAAGTTGGCATGAGGTTGGCAAAAAAAATTTGACTCAAAGGAATCACCATAAAGCATTGAAGGGGGACGGCAATTTTTTGTTGACCCTCAAATACTTTAAGGTTAGCAGTTAGGTCAGCTGACCCTAACTCCGAGGGTTGCTCATCTTGTTAATCAAAACTCCTATTGTATTTATTGATTTCATTTTTTCTTTATCAACAATCTTCTAGTTTATCAACTCTCATTTTGTTTATCAAATCTTTTCTTGTTTTTCAACTTTTTTATTGTTTGCCAACACTCTTTTTGTTTATCAATTCCTATCATATTTATAAATTCTCTTCTCATTCATCATTATCTTCTTGCTTATCAATTCTCCTCATCTTAATCAACTCACATCCTGTTAATCAACTTTTTATTGTTTATTAACACCCTTCTTGTTTATTGACTCTTTTCTAGGGTTTGCAATCTCGGATCACAAAATCCTAAAGTCCCAGGATCCTGCTTAATTTTATAACCCCCAATTCCAAGGATTATTTTGAAAATATCCTAGGATTTAGAAATTGAAATAACAATTAATACCTGGGTTTACCAATTAATATCTGTGTTTAAATTGTGTCAAAACAAATGTAACAACAAAGCTATAAAATTTAGTCCCAATGCAATGCAATGTTTTCATTATTGATTTATAAGTTTAAAGTAAGTTTAATCAATCATATATGTTGTGACTATTACTGGTGCGTTTATTAAAAAGTAGTAAGAAACAAGTTTTAATTATTAAAACTAAATTATAGTAATAGTATAAATAATAAAAATAATGATAATAATAAGAAAAAAATAAAAATTTATTTGTATTGATTTGTATTGGGTTTTTGTAATGACAGGGTGTATTAATTTAAATTTATTGAACTTTAAAAATTCACCTTTATAAAAAATTTAAATAATTAATTCTTATATTTTGTATGATTTATTAAATAAGGATATAATGTCAAATTTTATAGAGTTTAACAGCAAAACCTCCTCTATGGAAACATTTTCTGCGCAACAAAAAACGTGAAACAGCAATATGTAAACTAAGCTGTTACAAAAAAGTATTGAAAATTATTGGCAGATCAACAAAAGCTCTTCATTCCCATCTACTTCAGTTGCATAAAATAAATTAAAAAACTGGCACATTGTCCGACATCAGAAGAAGAACAACAGAGTAAAAAAAGTAAAATTATTTCATATTTTTCATTAAATATGAATAAAGAAGACAGCTTGTCTGAGGTGCTTGCAAGATTAACAGCTAAGGATGGGATTTCATTTAATGTAATATGCACTTATATTGAAATACGTGCTAAGCTGGCTATAAGGCAATTTGTTAACATACCTAAATCTCCAAACACTGTTTAAAAAATGGTGCTAGGTTTCTCTAACAACACAAAGAATGTTACAAGAAGTGAATTAATACAAAAAAATAACAGTGGAACTGTTTTTTTAATTTCTTTTAATGAGAGGACGTCGATTTGAAATAACTGTTTTTTGAATATCAATTTACAGAATTTTTGGAATTTAGATTTAGAAAGGATTGTAGGGACTTTGCCAGCTGAAAAGTGTATAATTTTACTTAAAGAAAAATCTCTGGGTTTATGTTTAGAAAAAAGTGTTCTGTTCATAATGACAGACCAAGCTAGCATAATAAAAAAAATGGGAAAACTATTGCAGATTAATAAACAGCTATGTTTTGCTCACGGTAACTGGCTATTATTTCAGTTATATATATAACGTCAGCATAAAATTCTATGCAGAGTCAGCATAAAATTTTATGCAGAGACATTCGAAGAAATTGATGATCACATTGAAATGAAAATGAATCTGAATTTAGTAAAAGCTGCGAATCAGATAGCGATGATGATGGTGATAAAAGTTGCTTTAGAGTGGATAATTGTATAATCGAAGATGAAACAGTTACAAATCAAAAACGATTGGTTCAGTGATTAATAAAGTTAGAAATATTGTGATGATTTTTAAAAGATCACCAACCAAAAATTGATGTCTGTTTTCAAAAATGTGTAAAAAACGATAAATGTATTCAAAAATGTGTAAAAAATGACTTTGGAAAAAAACCTTTATTTAATCAAAGATTGTAAAACAAGATGGAGCAGCTTACTATCAATACTTAAAAAGTTTCATAAGTTAAAAAATTGCATAAAATAATAATAAAATAATAAAAAAGGTACTTGTTGATATAAGTATTAATGATTCTATAAAAATGTCAGATAATGAGTATGAAATTGTCTCTGAACTAGTAAACGTGCTTATTCAAGTTAAAGCAGATGTGAAAGCACTTTTTCAATGCAATGCAAACCTTATAACTGCTGACATTGTGTTAGTGTTTATGCTAACTAAATTAAAAGAACTGAATACTACAACAAGTACTCAACTTTTTAACGCGTTAGGCTCTAGGATCAAAGAGCAAAAGACTGAATTAAGTAGTCTACTGCTTTATCTACATTACGGATAAAACAAATTAATGCCTATAGGTAAAGTTTTTTAAACATCTTTAAATTTTAAAAATAAAAAAATTATGTTGAGGCTTCTAAGTAGATTAAATGTAACAAATTTAAATCACCCTACAAATTTCTTGGATAATGTTAAAGATTTAGTTAGTATCAACTCTCTTTTGTCTATTAACCTTTTTTCTTATTTACCATCTTTAATCTTGTTTATTAACTCTTATCATATTTATCAGAAATCTTCTTATTTAATAACACTTTTCTTATTTTTAAAATCTTTTTTTGTTTAACAACACCTAACTTGTTTATCAGCTCACATCTTATTTGTCAATTGTTTATCAACTCTCTTTTTGTTTATAAACTCTCTTCTTGTTTATGAACACATTTCTTGTTTTTTAGCTATTCTCTAGTTTATCAATTTTTTTTTGTTTATTCACTTCCTTCATATTTATCAACTCTTATGATTTTTTTCTAATAACTTGCAACTTTAATAATGAAGGAATTTATTTAGAACAAAATTTTGATAAAGTAATAGTATTCACATCCTTCTGTTAACTTTTGTCTTAAAAGTTATTTAAAACTAAAACTTAATATTTGAAAGAAAAAATGACATTTATTATTTATTTACTGTATTGAACATCATTTCTGCATTCAAGCATATAAACTATTTCTCTGTGAAACTTTTCATAAATGGTGCTGTGAAGTTGAGAGTTTCAATTCAAGTTGATATTTTAAATTTGCATGTTTAATATGTACTTAAAAAGATAAAGACCCATTACTAGAGCTAAAGCTAAAAAAGTTATTCAATATAATTTTTAAAAATATTCATGTTAAAATTTATTGAAAAATTAATCAACATTTTATTTTATTATCAAAAAATTTTATTTTATTATCAAAAAATAAAATTAAAAAGAAGTTAAACAAGTTATAAAAAATTAGTTTTCAAATGAATTATGTAACAATGAAAAGATTTAAAAAACCAAACCTTTTCCGGTCCATAGCATTTCTAACTGAATATTACTTTTGCGGAATTTGCAATAGAACATATTTTGACTTAATACATTATCAGGCATCACAACAAAACCAATATATGTGATCGTCCCAGAATATTTATTTAAAACACTATTATAGAGGCTCAACAAATCAATACTGTTATCACTAGGAGATAAATTATAAATGACATATTGCTCATTTGAAAGATACCATTTTGAATACTTATATAGCATATTTTTCAGATCTATAAACATATTATTAAATGTTTTTACTTGAGACATTAGCAAATAGACACGCACATTAAATCCACTTCCAACATTTTCACAATAATACTGATTATTAATTTTAAAATTCAAGTTTGTAACAATTACATCCAAAGGCAAGTTAACTTCATATGTAAATAAGGACGTTGATGGATAACCATTCCATTGTCCTATTAACAAACCACCTTCTCCATCAAAATTTACAACATACAAAAATATCCATGTGTAAAAAGCAGTAGCAGTATATATAGGGTTTAATTGATTTTGGTCTAAAATAGTGAAAAAAAGTTGTAAACAATTAAAGTATGTGACATTGGATTTTTTTTACAGACCTCAAAAAGCAAGTGCTCTGCTTACTAAGTAAATTAAAATTAGACTTTAAATAAAAAATTACATAATAAATATATAAACACTTTACAAAGATAGGTGAAGATTTTTAAAAATTAATTTTAAGCAAATTGGAGGTGTAGCTAACTATTAATAAACATAAAATTATATATATCTTAAAAAGTTTATTTACAACTTTTGAAAGACCAAAAAAAATTATAATTTTGCCCCTGAAAGTAACAACAAACTATGAAAATTTCAATATTACGAAAATTTCTTAATATCATTATCTTTAGATAACTTCTATTGAAAAACAAAATAAAATTAATTTTAACTACTATTAATAACTCCTTTACATAGACTAGTCAAAAAAATAGAAACTTAACTCCACTGTCAGTCTTTTTGTGTTTTATTTGCTAAAAGATATCCAAAAAGCTGGAAAAAGCAAAAAATAATGTTTTTTTATAAACAAAATTTTTGCTTTCAAATCTAGTCAGGTTTAACTAAAACATTTTTTTTTTCTTTTACAAGTACAAAGTAAATACCTAAATATTACAACAACATACAAATATTAAATATGCTGAAAATAATTATAATAACAATAATAAAAACTTTTTATAATTATAATAACCTTGATAAAATAATAATAATAATAATAATAATAATAATAATAATAATAATAATAATAACAACAATAATCTTAATTTAGTAATAGTATTAATAACATTAGTAATAAACAATAAAACTGATAACAAATTGTGTTTGTAGAAGTAGAAGTAAAAAGTATTAACTGCTTTTTTTAATTTAAAAATAACAAGTTCTTCTTTATTATAAATTAGAGAAAGTTAGTTGAAATGAGCCACTAGAAACTTTATATTAATGATCTACATTCAGCGACATTTCATTAGTTCCACAATTTGTACATATGAATAAATTCACAAAGGATTTGCATTTTTTTTGTGTTTATTACATAAATTATTAGGAATAAATAAATAAGCAAATAATATTTAATAAAATATAACTATTAATTTATTTCGTAAAACTTAAAAGTTAAAAATATTTCAAAAAAACAGGCGAAGTTTCTATAGTTCCATCAAAGGTAATCCTTTATAATTTTCATTCTGGATAACAATTTTTCAATTAACTTAATTTTTAATAATGTGTGCTACCACCTTTTATAGTAATTTGGTTTTTCATACTTTTTATAAGATTTTCCAAACAAACCTTTGAAATACCATTCCATGCATGTTGGATAGATTTTTTAAGTTTATGTATTGTATTATACTGTTGAAAATTTCCATATATGGTTCATGTTAATATTTCCTATAAGTTTTCAATAGGGTTTAACTCAGGTGAACATAATAGCCTATCCAAAACATTTATATTTTTTTCCTAGAACCACTTTTTACACGAATTGCCACATTATCTTGTTGGAAAAGCCAGTTCTCAGTAGGTAAACTTTCACTAAACTCTATTAAAACATCTTCTAAAAGATCTACGTAATTTCTTGCATTCATTTTTGTTGTAACAAAATATATTAAAATTTTGCCATGGAAACAAAATGCGGCCCACACTATAACAGTCCCTCCAGGGACTGTTATAGTGTGGACCGCATTTTGTTTCCATGGCTCATCTTAGTTAAACTTTTTTTTATTGGAAAAAATAACATTTTCCTATTCTGCATCCCATGTCATTTGGTCCTTTGAAAACTTAAATCTTGCAATTTTATGTTTTTTTGTCAATGGTGGTTTTGTGATTAATCTTTTCTATTGAAATAGTCCTGATTTTGACAAAATTTGTTGTAGTCACAGGTAATTCGAGTTCAGTCCTTATTTGTCTTGTAGTTACAGGTAACTCGAGTTCAGTCCTTATTTGTCTTGTAGTCTACATGTCTTGTAGTCACAGGTAATTCGAGTTCAGTCCTTATTTGTCTTGTAGTCACAGGTAATTCGAGTTCAGTCCTTATTTGTCTTGTAGTCTACATGTCTTGTACTCACAGGTAATTCGAGTTCAGTCCTTATTTGTCTTGTAGTCACAGGTAATTCGAGTTCAGTCCTTATTTGTCTTGTAGTCTACATGTCTTGTAGTCACAGGTAATTCGAGTTCAGTCCTTATTTGTCTTGCTGTTTGTACTTCAGATGATACCCAACGCAAAGTGGAAAAATGTTGCTATTTGGTTGTTTTTTTATTTCCACCCTTAAAGTGATTTTTATTGTAATTTTTACTAAGTTCAATAAAATTGTTCACTGTATGATAAGACCTTTTGATTTTTTTTTGCAATTTGTTGATTAAACAAACCCTTAAAGATTAAACAAACTTTTTTTAGTAATAATTTTTGCTTTTTTTTTCCTCATTTAACACCTTTCTGCGTGGCATTGTAATAATTAAATAACAAATCTTAATTAAATATACAAAAAACTTCCATATAAAACAAACAAATTAAAAAATCTTACTCAAACTTCAATTAACTCTAATTAAGTGTTCAAAGAAAACTAATGGAACTATGGAAATTTTGCCTGTAAATATACCATTTAAAAAACATTCTAAAAAATTTAGTTTCAATTGTTTTAGAAACACATAAAATTGTCATAAATGCATTTGTTTGCTATAGGATTAGCAGCAGTTCTAATACTGAACCTTAAAGAACACAAATGAAGCTTTTTGCAAGGGTAGGTTTTAAGCCATTCATAGAGGCAAGTAAGGATTAAATAGATTAAATAAGATTAGAGTAAGTTAAAATAGATAAGTTCATAGATTAAATTTAGATCAATAGATTTAGAATAAAAGATTAAATTTATAATAACAGATTAATTTAAATTAAATTTTTTGTAAATCAATAAATACTCCACATACAAAATATTTATCAAAAAGAGTTTTTTTAATTGGCATAATTTTAATGATTGGCATAAAATCCACACTGATCAATGTAAAAGCATTTAAATTTTTCAACAAAAATATACAGCTTATTATTCATTACTTTGTCAAAGAGGTGTGGCGGAGAGTGTCGCAAAATTTATATTGGTAAAAATTTGATTGGTGAAAATGTAAAAAAAGAAATTGCTAAATAACAAAATAAGGAATGCAAATGAATGTAATGAATATTGTCAAATATAGAAAATAGAATAATGTCACAAAGAAGTTTAATAAATTGTAATAGTGTTGAAAACAAAAAAAAGGAATAGTGATGCAAATAAATTTAATGAATAGTGTCAAAAATAAAAAAAAGGAATAATGTTGTATAGAAGTTTAATGAATAGTGTCAAAAACAAAAAAATAATAATATCTATAAATGGTTGTTTAGATAACATGTCTGATGTCATACTGAAATAACTTGCTGCTGGGAGCTTTAGTACATACACTAACTATCTTATAGCCTGCTACATCGACTGAGGGTTTGGGATTGGGTAGCAATTTTTTCTTATATTATTCTTTATTTTTTTCATTTTTTTTCTGTAAAAGCTGTGCGCTATAAAAATAAGCAAAACAAGTAAGCATTTACTGATCTATATATGCTATAATAGATATATACTCACATATATATTCATATATTAACTATTTGTGATACTATTCTAATTTTACAATTTCCAACACTATTCTAATTTTACTGTTTGCAACACTATTCCATTTTTATTATTAGCAACACAACTCCTTTTACTGTTTTCGAAACTATTCCCTTTACTATTAAAGACACTATTCTTTTTTGTTTTGTTTTCGAAACTATTCATTAAATTCATTTGCGACACTATTTCTTTATTTTGCAAGGTCTTTTTAATATATTCAACACTATTCTTGTCTCCCGTCAAAGAGTTTATTTTATCCTCAATATTAAATGCGTTTATAGATATACCCATTATATTAGTGTTATATATATAAATTAGATTCTTTATTACTTATTGCCAAGAGAAAAGGGCTGATAAGCTTACAAAACTATTATTCTAGGAAAGTTGATTGAGCTCATTAAGATAGACTGGTTAAAAATATACTGATCTGAACTAAGTAAGAAAATTTTATTAAGTTCAAAAATACCATAGTAATTGCAATTAACAGAAATTTTAATAATTACTAAACAATTTGTTTAAATCTTTAAATATGTTTTTGTAATTAGTTACAGTCTTAAAAGAGTTAAATGAATTTTTTGGTATATTCTTGCATAGTATTGTTGCACAACTTATACGAGAAAGAAAGGAAGTTAAAATACAGAAAAAAAAAGCTAAAACAAAATCATTATTACCTTATTAAAACTTTTAATAACTTTTGATAATAATGAATTTTGAAATTGAATAGATGAACTATTTCAGCGCAGTACATTATAATTTTTTTTCGTTGTTGTTGTAAATTGATTAACATTTGTAACAACCAACATTTCACAATATTTCTACTAATTTTTGTTTTTATCATTTAGTAGCGCGTTGCTGCATTATATATAAGTGTTTTTAAAGTGAAATTTTAAAATATAAAGTTATTGTATTTAAAAATTTCATTGGTTTCAAAGGAAAATAAGACATAATATTTCTGATTTCAAATAAAAATTTTCATTTCTTTATAATTCTTATGCACGAAGTGATAACAAATTTTATTGGAAAAAAAAAAGTGAATTTTTGTCATTTATTTTAAATGGTTACACAGTGACCAAACTTAGACAATTATATGGTATATATAAATATATTGAACAGGGAAATAATAAGTTATCACTGTAGATGGGGATACCTAAAGCCTACAGGAAACTAAAGCTATTATAACAGGTAATTTTTGGATGGATATAGTGGCAACACTGTTTGGAATTAACAGCTGATGTTGAATTCTTCTAACAAGAGCTTAAACATGCTTTCCAAATACTTGTCTTAATTATAAATATCAAGTGAACAGTTAAACTATATATTTAGCCTAAAATATCAATAAAAAAGTCATCTTAGATAACTTCTGTCTTGATCAAGTCGTTTTT